TGAGCTGAGGGTTGCACTCCTCTGTGGCCCACAGGATGGCATCCGCAGAGCTCGTATGTGCACGCTCTGCTGCTGGAGGTCCTATGGAGCTGAGGAGCATTGCCCGGATGGCTCTGCAAACAGGAACAGCACCTCCAGCTGCCTTGGGCGCTCTCGAGGATGTAACACATGGCCAGTCTGGTCATCCATCAGGCGACATTTCTCCTCTCTGCAGGCTGGTCCAGCGAGTGCCTGCTGGAGTGGGACAGCTTCACCTCCCTGGCTGTCCCCAGCATGCTCATGATGTGCATCGAGTGGTGGACCTACGAAATTGGGAGCTTCTTGATAGGTCAGTGGAGAGGGGGAGCTGTGACGCAGAGCGGCATCCATGGCACTCATGGGGGCTGAGAGCGGCTCTCCGCCGGGCGCCTGAACCCAGCACCGACCCTTTCCTCTCCTGTCCTCCAGGCCTGCTGAGTGTCATAGAGCTCTCTGCCCAGTCCATCATCTACGAGGTGTCCGTTGTCGCTTTCATGGTAAGGCTTGGGGTTATTGTTTCCGACCAGGGCTCCCTAGGGACAGCCCAGTACAGGCACTCAGCAAAAATCAGCTCCAGCAGATCTCCGTCTTCCCCCTCTGCGCTTAAGCCTCTGCCTCCTCCTGCCTGTCCCTCCTGTGGAGATGTTTTAAATTAAACCCTGAACTCCATCTCCCTCTCTGCTGGGTGGTTATTCTGCTGTCGCTGCGATGGTCCCATTACCTGGACGCATACACGAGCCTCAGCCCTGTGGTTACAGATCCCCTTGGGGCTCGGCACAGCCGCCGGCGTGCAGGTGGGGAACGCACTGGGTGCCGGCAACGTTGAGATGGCCAAGAGATCCTCCTCCACCAGCCTGCTCTGCACAGGTCAGGCCACCTTCACTGGGGCTCCTGCCGGGCACAGCAGGAGCAGGGAGTGTTTGCCGGTCTCTGCCCACGGCACACACTGGTGTCCCCTGCTCTCTCCCTTCGGCTCCTCCCGAGCTCCCTGTCTCAGCCAGGCCAGGCTCAGCTCTTTGCTCTGTTTTTCAGGGGGGTTTTGCATAGCTGTGGGGGCCATTTTAGCTGCCACAAAGGACATGCTGGGGTACATCTTCACCCAGGACAAGTGAGTGGCCCTGGCTCCCGGCTCTGGTGTGCAAAGGTTGGTTTCCAAAAGCAGTCATTGGCTCTTCTCTGTCCCCAGGGAGATTGTTGACTTGGTGGCCTGGGTCATGCCCGTCTACGTTGTCTTCCACTTGTTTGAAGCCATGTGTGTAAGTCCCTGGGGATGCTGCTGCTTTCGGTAAGGGACCTTGGTGCTGAGCAGCAGCATCAGAGGTCAGACGGGGGTCCCTCAGGGTGCGGATGGGCACTGGCACAGCCACCAGGACCCTGCAGAGCTCCTGGGGTCACCCCTTAGAAAACACCAAGTGCACAAAGAGCTGCCAACCCACAGGACCGGGCAGGGACACAGAAATACCTGGGCAGAAGCAGGGAGCTCTTCCATCACCAGGCTGGTTCACCAGCCCCCAGGCAGCGGCAGAGCCCCGAATTCGGCCAAGGCAGTGCTCCTGGCCCTGGCCCCAGCCCCTCTCCCTCTCCTTGGCAGGGCGCCTGCAGCGGGGTGCTCAGAGGCATAGGCAAGCAGAAATTCGGTGCCATCCTCAACGCTGTGAGCTACTATGGTGTGGGCCTGCCCCTGGGAGCCGTGCTGCTCTTCGTGGCCAGGATCGGCGTCATAGGTACCGACCCCTGGGTGTGCAGCTCTGCATGCCCCCAAATCCCCCATGGGTGGATGTGGCTCCCCCCAGCTCCACCAATGGCTCACTGTGACCCTCCCCGCCTGGCTCTGCCCTCCTACCTGGCTGGGGACTGGGCACACTGGGGTGGACTGGGATGGCCCCTGCAACTACTGAGAGCTTTTAATTGTACTGGGAAAAAGCAACCACTGCCAGGTCTGCCGGGCAGCCCTGCAGCAGGCACCCACGGCTGCCCCATCCCTGTGTCCCGGCTGACCTTGGTGACGTCCCCTTTCTTGACTCGCTATCCTGAGATGCCATCTCAGTTGGGTTTGCTCTGGCTGTGACACCCGCCTGATGCCAGCATGCCCTCTGCAGGCCTGTGGCTCAGCATGCTCGTCTGCGTCTCCATCCTCTGCACCTGCTTCATCGCCTACATCTCCCGCACGGACTGGAGGAAGGCAGCTGAGGAGGTAACCTGTGCGCCCACGGCATCGCGCCCTGCCAGCAGGAAGGTCCTCGGGGCCTTGGCTGGAATCACAGTGGGACGAGACAGCATCATGGGCTTGATCCCACAGGCCAGTGCTGCCCAGGACTGTCCCCTCCAGCGCCCCCAGTAAAACCCAGTGCTCCTGTGACCGTGGCCACGTCCCTGTTATTCAGTTCTCTCCCATATGTGCACTCAGTGGCCTCAAGGTTTCCCTCTGCACCTCGTGCCACCCTTGGTTGGGGACATGAAGCACAAAGCAGATGGGGTGACTGAGGCTACCTCAACCCCGAGCATCACCTTGTGCCCCAACAGCTCCGGGGTTTCCACCAGCCAGCGTCTCTCATTTGGGGCATCTTTCAGCTACACAGTGCCCTTTCCAGCCAGAAGAACCCTGCGAGAGACAACACATTGGCTTTGCTCCGTGGGGATTTCCCGCACCACGTGCCACCAACTAAACCCAGCACAATCCCTCCCCCAGGCTCAGCGCCGCGCAGGAGTGACCCAGCCGCCACCGGAGGAGCCGAACCCAGGCCTGGAACCCTCCTGCAAGGCGCTTCCCTCTGGTGTGGGGCCAGCCCCACCGCCTCACCCCTACCCCCCCACCATGGTGGTGCGGGGCTGTGTCGGTATGGCCAGGAGCTGGGCAGAAAGGGATGGGGGAGCCGGGCACTGTGTGCAGTGGTGGCCTTGGGTCCAGGAAGGGTACCCAAAGATTGACATAAACCGGCCCACGAAATGGGGGTGTAGCACAGGGCTGGTGGTGCCCTCATTTACTGGGAAAGCTGTAATTACAAGGGTGGGCTCAGGAGGGTGATGGAGGCCAGGGGGGGAAGGACCTGGAGGGATGGGGCACCCTGGGTAGCTCTCACCTTGCAGACACCAGGTCCCACCAAAGCTCCATTAAGGGCTGGAGATCTCCACCCTCTGGGCTGCTCAGACCTCAGGGAAAACCTTCCCAAAAAAACCCTCAATCCCCTCAAAAGCCCTCAGCGACGCTGCCCTGTTCTCCTTGCAGCGGGAGTGGAGGCACAGAACAGCATTGTGCTCACGAGCATCACCAGGACGGAGGGACCAACGTACCAGCTGGAGCGCCAAGAAGCTACTCCTGCCACATCCCCTCCGGCCACCGCCATGGCCACCAAGGAGCTGATCATCCGGCGTGGGCTGGCGGGGGCCGCAGCCATCGCAGTACTTGCGCTCGGCATTGTCATAAAGCTGACGACCAGCAAACACTGACTTGCACCAAGGACTCTGGGGACTTTACTTTGGGGGCGGAAGCCCCTCCTGACAGATGGACGTACAAAGCACAGACCGGCCAGCAAGAGAATCCAGCACACGCCTGTCCCATGGGAGCCAAAGGGTCCCCATCAGCATTTGGCAGCATCTGCTCAGACATCACTCGGGACTGGGCCCTGTGGCTGCTCCAACACCCAAAACTCTGCTCTGGGCTGCCTGACGCACACCGAGCACGCGGGTAACTCCCTCCAGCCCATGCCGCCAGCTATCGCCTGCCGAGCACAGCCCAGCTCATGCTGCTGCTCTGTGATAAATGCCAAATAAAGAATAAATCCAGCTGGACTTGGGCTGGCTCCTTTGGGTGAAGGCTGAGGGCAGGGCTTGGGCTGGAGCAGGGGAACATCCAACGCTGGGGGCTGCAGCTCATGTGGAGCCTGGGGCACGTGGGTCTTGCCCTGCCCCAGGTGGCCTTCACAGTAAAACAAAGGTTTTATTCAGTAAGGCTCAAGGTTGGGGTTACAGTTACTTTTAGTTACAAGTTTGGAGGCAAAAGACTACCAATAAACCAATAAAAAAATTGAAATTCAATTACAGATGAGATGGCTGGCAGCTCAGCCTCTCTGGGCCTAGGACATCCCCAGCCCTGCGACTCCAGTTGCACCAATGCCCCTGTTATTGCCCCCAGCAGCCCCAAATGCAGTGCACCAGCAGTGCGACAGTCCTGGTCACTCCTCGAGTCCTTGTGGCAGAGCGTGGCCACAGCTCAGAAAGCCTTTGCTGTCACCTCAGGTAGCCTTCGCACGCCTTGGATGGCTAACGGTGGTTTCCCCTGCAACAAGACATCACCCACCCTCCGATGCCCCGTCCTACCTGCGCAGGGTCCACCAGCAGAGGGCACCTCTCATGGCAGCCCAGCATCTCTGGGGATGGCCCAGGCCCAGGGCTCTCGCTAGACACAAGACGCCCTTTACCCAGGTACATCCTCACGCTGTGAACACGCAAGCCCTGGATCGCCACGTTCAGCCAGGGCAATGACGCCGATGCGCGATTGCGAGACCTCATGGCTTTGCCCACGTTGGTGCACGAGGCCGGGGGAGCGCTTTCACGTGCCGCAGCAGCCGTCGGGAGCCAACAAACACAGCCCATGCTATCGTCCGGATCTGAGCAAACCCCAAACGGGCAGCACCTGCAGGCGGGAGGCAACCAGGGATGGATTTGCACAGGACAGGAGGAGAAACAGTCCAGCTCTTCCGCAGCTCCCAGCACCGCCTTGCCCCATGCCCTGCCTGCCTCCCGGCAGCTCTTGGGCAGCCCACCCACACTCCCCTGCCAGAGCCCCAGGGGATCTTTCCCCACGAGCGGGGCGGTCATCGCGCCGGGGACCTGTGCTCCTGCGCCGGGGCAGAGGCACCTTGCACCACACGTGTGGCATTCAGCCAAGCCGTGGCCAAAGCCGGGAGTGGCAGAGGATGGGCAGGATTCCCCAGGAGACTGCAGGGACTTACCACGCTCCGTTTGTTATTTAAATTCTCAGCGTTTATTTAGTACTTGCAAAATATATCATTAAAAAGGCTTAGCACACGGATTTTCACCAGGCATGAAGAAATCCGACCTATTGCACATGAAATGTAATTGTCTACCCTATATTAATTGCATTTAGTAATAGTAAGCTTTTAGATTTTCCTTATTTAAGCTTTCCTTATTTAAACATTAATGTTTCTAAGGTCCTTTCACATTACATTTCTCCAGCATCCTCTCCCCAAGCTAGAACAAGCCCCATATTATCTCCCAGTGCAAGATTATAGCAGGCCCACAAGCTCGAACACAAAGGAGTACACACTCTTCCAATAGTTGTTTTCTCTTGGAGGAACCTGACCAGGAACGGGTTTGTACTGGTTTTGGCTGAGATGGAATTAATTTTCATCATAGCTGCTAAGTTTCTTCATAGATGGATGCTGCTGTGTTTTGGATTTGTGACCAAAATAGGGTCAGTAACGCACACGTGGTTTAGCTGTCGCCAAACAGGGCTTGCACAGCGCCAAGGTCTCTGTTTCTCATGCCGCCCTGCCAGCGTGTAGGCTGGGGTCGGCAAGACATGGGAAGGGGACACGGCTGGGAGAGCTGACCCCAACCAGCCAAAGGCGCATTCCAGACCGTATGACGTCATGCTCAGTGATAAAAGCTATGGGGGGAAGAAGAGGAAGGGGGACATTGGGAGTTACGGTGTCTTGTCTTCCCAAGTCACCATTACACGTGATGAAGCCTGGGTTTCCCGGGGATGGCTGAACATCTGCCCGCCAAGGGCAGGTAGTGAGTGAATTCCTTAATTTGCCTGCTTGGATGCCCAGCTTTCACCTTACCTATTAAACTTTACTTCGACCTACAAGTTTCCTTACTTTTATCCTTCTGATTTTCTTCCTCATCCCACTGCGGGGAGCGAGCGAGCGGCTGCGTAGGGCTTGGGTGCCCACCTGGGCTGACCCACAACAGGGTATGATGTGACTCCCACTTCTCTAAACAGGCCTGGTAGTTCTTTTGTATGAGCACAAGGTGCTCTTACCAGCAAAACGTAGGCAGTGCAGGTATCACCTCTGTAATTTTCTAACTGCCAAACAATTGTTACAGGCACATGTTGAAACCCAGAGTCCCAAACCCAGAGCCTGCACCCCCTGACCAGCTGTGGATGATTCTGGCTCACAGGCATCCACAAATATTTCACCTCAATCAAAGTGGGAACCTCACTAGATTTATTCATAACCATCACTACTGGTAAAACGCATCAGCCAGCACGTCCTATCTCAGGCTCATCACCAAGAGGGTGGTTGTTCGGGGCACAACAGAAGACAGACCATCCCCAAAATCGCAGGGAAAACACTGTCAACCCAATCACAGCTGAAACTTAAAGCTCCTCTGTCACTGAAGGAAGGTTTGGTGCAAGACACCATGTGCGCGTCCCTGGAAGCAGCGCTCTGCATGGCATGGGGTGGAGGTAGGGACTGGTATTTCTGGCTCTGCAGTCCTCCTCTTGAGTGCTTGTACCCACTGGTCCCTCTGTTTCAGCATGGCTTTTTAGTAAACAGGAGTCCGAGCCTTCTTGTGGTTAGTGCCTCTCTAAGGCTACTCTGTGTGCTTGACAGCTCACTGAAATAACCCAGTACAAAAGAAAAAAAAAAATTACTTCTCAGCTTAAGGAAACAGACACAAAGTGAGCACTCAAGAGTATGACTTGCTCACGGCGCCTTCTCCTCTCTTCAGTAGTAAACCATCTGTGAAAGCAAAACACAACACCAGCGTCCTGTGAAGGATTTGCTGAAACAAAACCAGCTCCCATTCTAGAAAGAACAGCTTGAAGCAAAGCCCCTCTGCTCAGAGTGACTTCCCCAGGGTCCAGCTCCCCTGCCTCCTGCCCCCTCGGCATGCACTGACTGCTGGTCACCTTGGATGCTGTACGAGCTCCGAGTGCTGCCAGGGAAAGCACTGCGCTCCAAGGGGAACCTTCTGCAAGCCAAACATTCGCTACTCTAACACAGCTTTGCCCGATCTCAAATCAGGTCTACACACAGGAGAAGAAAAAGGCTCCTACCTCACTGCGACAGCCACGGCAGTGCTCTGAAACCTGCTCCTCCTTACCACACACTGAGCCAGCCCAGCCTCTGAACAGCCAGCACAATCAAGAGGGCTTTTCTCTTCAGCACAGACTGGTGACTCTGAGAAAACCCAAATGATTTCAAGATGCCATGAGTTTCCCCCTCTTTGCTGAGAAGGCATTCACCTAGACAGGGCCTGCCTCCCTGGCTGGTACTTCAAGGCCCGAGCCAGTTGTGGGCTCTTACACCTCCTCCTGGACTCAGATATGCAGGCAGGTTATTTCCCACTGCTTGTTGGGCTCCTGCACGTCTCCTTGCAGCAGTAGCAACACAGAACAGTCTGAAGGGCGGAGTCCTGATTCACCCTGCCATCTCCTGTCCCGCCAGGGGCTGCTCCCTTAAACCTACTAAAACCCCAGGACGCATGGTTGAGCGTTGCAAGGAGCAGCCAGTGCAGGCTCACATAGCACCTGGTCCACCAGCAATCATCCTTGGAGTTTTAGATCTTACCCCTGCACCTCAGGAGGCATCTCGAGTCCTCCAGCCAGCACCAGCAGGCTTCTGCCTCCCGCAGAGAGGGGAGAACATCCCACTCTTCCAGCCAGAAACAGGAGGAAATGGAAATAATTGAGCTAAGGTCAGACAGGGGCTGCAACTCGGCAAGGAACAAGAGCTTGTTGTAGCCCTCGGCATTAGGGGACAGCCTCCCTTCCCCAGGGCCCTGCAGCACAAAGCTGCAGCCAGCTGGGCTAGGCTGAGGAGCAGCTCACGACACCACTGAGAAAAGCCTGGGAATCAAAATCACTCCAAAGAGACCTGTCCAAATCCTCTGCCTCTGGAGGGAGCTTCTCATGGGTGTCACCCACCAAGGCAGAGCAACGTACGGCAGCCTAGGAGATTTCTCTGAGGGCATTTCTATTCTAGATAGCACTTGCAAGAGTGGAAAGCAGATCTTGGTAATTTCAGGTGGGACAGATATCGTAAGTCTCAAGACAGAAAAAACAGGCCTGGCTCTAAGAAAGGACTGCGGTTGCAAAGAGGGAACCTTGCAGAGGATCAGAGGAATTGCACATGCACTCGCATAGATGGCAAAGAGCCAAAGCTCACCTTTATCACCACCGCTGCCACAATCCCCAGCAGCGCCAAGATGACCAGTCCAATTCGGCCCTTGTTAAACCGCTTCAAGAGGAAGAATTTAGCCCAATCCACCTTCTTCTGGCCGCCAGGTGGGTACCGGAGTTTGTTCATACCCTCCATCTTCAGGTCCTTGATCAAGCAGGAGCGGCGGTGGGAGAAGGTCTCAAAGCTGTGCTTGCCATGGTAGGCGCCCATCCCGCTGTTACCTGAGGGACACAACCCAGGCAGATCACACCACAGGCTCTGCCAGTCAAACCTTTGGCCACTTGAGGCCACCAGCAGGGCAAGAAGCAGCACAGGAAAATTCCAGTGGCGTGCCAGCTGCAGCGCATGTCACGTACCCTGCATCTGCCTTGCTGCAGTCTGAAAGTACAACTTCTCACAGAATCATAGAATCATCTAGGTCAGAAAAGACCTTTAAGATCATCAAGTCCAACCATTAACCTAACACTGCCATCCCACTACTAAGGTCCCTAAGCACCTTGTCTGCCCGGCTTTTAAATATCTCCAGGGATGGGGACTTGGCCACTTCCTTGGGCAGCCCCTTCCAGTGCTTGACAGCCCTTTCATTGAAAAAATTTTTCCTAATGTCCAATCTAAACCTGCCCTGGAGCAACTTCAGGCCATTTTCCCTTGTCCCATCGCCCGTTACCAGGGAGAAGAGGCCGACCCCCACCTCACTACAGCCCCCTGTCAGGCAGTTGTAGAGGGCAATAAGGGCTCCCCTCAGCCTCCTCTTCTTCAAGCTAAACAACCCCAGTTCCCTCAGCTGCTCCTCGTAAGCCTTGTGCTCCAGACCCCTCACCAGCTTTGTTGGTCTCCTCTGGACATGTTCCAGCAACGCCACGTCTTTCCTGTAGTGAGGAGCCCAAAACCGAACACAGTATTCGAGGTGTGGCCTCACCAGTGCTGAGTACACTTCTCTATGTTCCTTCAGAGAACAACTGTTCCTTCCTCTCTACAGCACTTCTCAGTCTCCAAGATGTCCATCTGCATTCCATCCCTCTTCTTCCCCACCCCATTTTCACTGCTAACTCTCCAGTACTTTGTTGCATCCCCATGTGCGCTGTTCCCTGTGCCTCCAAGCCATCTCCAGCTCTTCCCTGGATTTAGCTCCCTCTCAAAGCACCACGCCAAGGCTCTGAGGTCTGACCAGTGCTGTGGGAGAAGGGTTCCTGAGGAGCCCTGCAGGCTACACCTCCGTTTTCCAATTCCAGGACAGCATGTGCCACTCACAGCAGCAGAACACTGCTGGTTCACAGTCAGCACGTGAGCACACCCAAACTGTGGCTGTTCCATAACCTGCTCCAATTCTCCCCAAGCTGAAGTCCTACCCTTCCTCCTGCAATTACTGCTAATCAATCGCAGCTAATGTTTGCAACACACCTTCCACATCAGTCTGCACTAAATGTTTCAACCTCCTCAAAAACGCACCCAAATGCTTTTCTCTTTTGGCCCCTTTCCTAAGGTACTCCCAAGAATTTCCTGTTGAGATCTGCTACACAGAGACCCATCAGCTGTAACAGGCACAGGGGTACCTGGACACAAACCAGCTGCTGCTCTTCCCTGGGTTCCCTGCACATCAAGTCACAACACTTAGGGAGCTCCAGTGACTTACCGACACCGCCAAAGGGTAAGGTTGAGAGGAAGAAATGCATGATGACATCATTTCCAGTAACACCCCCACTGGAGGTCTCCGAGATGACTCTTTTGATTAACTGAGGAAAGAAAAAAAACCAAACAGAACAATACAAAGGCCCAGATGAGACCAGACCACGTAACTGAGCAGGACTGCGAGGGGAGCTATGAGCCCCACAGGCCATCGTGCTGATTTCCTCTGGCTGACAGCTCAGTTGAGCTTTCTCCACGCAATGTTAACTCAAAGGAAGTGGGAAAGTTCAGAGGAGGGATGTGAAAGCTGGAAATCGAGGAGCTTGCTCCCCTAGCAATATATTAAAAGTAACTAAATTAATCATGAAAGACTACATGGCACCAAAAAGGAAATTCAGCCTTTTATCCTTCTATTTCACAAAGTCACACAAATGCAAAGCACTTCAGCAGCAACTCTGTGGATACCCATGGTCCCCCGTGAGGCAAACGCTGTGATTCACTTACAAAGAGGAGCCGACATGGGCCCTGCAGGGAGCCATGCCTGGGACTGGCCACGTTTAGGATTGAGCTATGCAGAGGCACCTCTGTGGGGGAGCACAGCCCAGACCCACCTTCTTGTTGTTGGAGAAGACATACAGGGCAAGGGGCTTCTCCCGACGGTTGATGAACTCAATGGCTTCGTCCACGCTCTTCACGGTCAGAATGGGGAGGACCGGTCCAAAGATTTCCTCCTCCATCACCTTTGACTCCGGAGAAACATCGGTGAGGATAGTTGGTGCTGAAGCGAACAGGAGGGCAGGAGGCAGTAGGAGCGGGACAGAAGACACGGTCAATCACAGGACCTTGCCCTGGGCACGACCAGCATTCAACACACACCAAGCAAGCCACAGACACACACAGAGCCTCCAAAAGACACCCACTGTCAGCAAAAGGTCCCACCCTCCACCTCCCCAACAACTGCCTGAAGCACCTATGAAGCAAGAGGCTTCATCAACCTCTCCCCCGTGAGCAATCTTCTGCCCTTCCAGTAGGCTCAGGATCCTCTGGAAGTGACGCTTGTTGACGATCCTTTCATAATCTGGAGACAACTTCACGTCTTCCCCATAGAATTCCTGCCAAAAGGCACAGCAGAACCAAAGCGCTTGACAAACCTCCACAGAAACCACAGCTCCAGGGCTGCAACTATGAAACTCAGAGCTGAGCTGTAACAGGGACAACTCCCACAGCATGAGGAACTCCACGCTCACCTGCAGAGTCGCCTTGATGTTCTCCACCACCTTGCTTTGGATGGACGGGTCACAGAGGATGTAGTCTGGGGCGATGCAGGTTTGCCCACAATTCATGTACTTCCCCCATGTTATCCGCCTACAGGAGAAAGGGAGATGGGTTCTCCACAGTCAGTCCCTTCCAGCCCCCAGAGGCCGGCCTACAGCACCCAAGTGGCACCCACGGTCTGGGGACAACAGCCCACCGAGGGCTTGCAACAGCCTGACCTGCAGGCGACAGCCAGGTCACAGTCCTTGTCGATGTAGCAGGGGCTCTTCCCACCCAGCTCCAGGGTGACGGGTGTCAGGTGCTTGGCGGCTGCTGCCATCACGATTTTGCCCACTGTGGAGTTCCCAGTATAAAGGATGTGATCAAATCTCTGCTTCAGCAGCTCTGTTGTCTCAGGTATTCCTCCAGTAACCACAGGGTACAGCTCCTGCAGGACAAACAAGAGCCTTACAGTTACCTTGATTTAAAACAAATATACCAAGGGAGCAGCTCTGCCTGGGGCAGACTCACTTGTGAGCTACATCAGGTTCTGGACAAAAGATAGAGATAACATGGACAAGCTCTGCTCCTTCCCCTGAAATGAAGTTTCACCAGATGTATTGTGCCACATGAACTAAAAGAGAAGGAGGTCGAGGCCAGGACTGAGTCAGGCTGTGGACCTACTCCCACACATTAAGAGCAAGGGCAAGTACGACCATTGGGCTCTCCTGAGAGCTGTCTCCTTCCTCAGCTCTTGCCCCTTGCCTAGAGCAAGCACTGACTCCCCAGAGGAAACTACACAGCAGGGCCCTGCTGTCAGAGCAACAGCCTCAGCGACACAGCGCAACGGATGTCAGAACTGCCAGACACGTGGAGGAGAAACAACGCCGCCCACTATG